CGATGGCGGTCCCGGCGAAGGAGCGGTGAAAGCCGATCCGGCGATCCACAGCGCAAAGTTGATGTATTCCCTTAGCGACCAGCACGGATCAGCTCTAGGGATGACGAAGCGGATATCGTCCTCTTTTGAAAGTAGTTTCGCTTTCACAACGAAGCGCACAGCGCCTTCACGACATGGCGGCGGCGGCAACAATACTACAGCGAGAATAAAAGTTACGTCTTCTTTCTTTGCGTGAACATTTGGGCGGTGTTATGCAAATCTTCCCACATAGTGATGTAGATATGTGGGGGCGTGTTAGAACGAGCCGTTTTAGGTAGGTGTGGCTGACTCTTAACTTTTATAAAGAATATCTCTTTGGATTTGAGACTTTAGTCTTTGCAACTTTACAGATCTTCTTTATGCACCAAGAGCTTGTAACACTCCAAAGAGAAAGGAAAAAATGAAATCGCATCATATGACCCCTTTAATACAAATTCATCATCATCAAAATGGTGTCTACCGAAATTAATCCATAAAACGTTAACATTTTAATCAACCTTTTAAAATCGAATCAAATTAAAATATAACTATTAATTTACAACAATTTGTCAAATAAGGTTTTGCACAACAAAATTTTTATAGTGTATAAATTAATCATGGGTGAAAAAAATATCTTGGTATTCCTTAAAATTATTATTATTACTTTGAGAAGTACATTTTACTATACAACTGTAAAATACTTCTGTCATAACTTAATGTTAAACAGAACTTTTTCATGTTAAACCAAAATTATTTTGGCGTTTTATCACGAAGGCCTTTGATTTTCAGTGTAAAGAGCAAATGCTCATGACTCTCAGAGCAACTCTCAAGATGTAGGCTAATCAAACGTTTATTATAGACATTGTGGATTTATTTTTTTGGTGAATATCAATATCGATTTGTTGCACAGTCCTATTGTATAAAATATCATAATATTATAATGCAGATTATTGCTTTTAGTATCTTTAATCACAACTATAATACAGTTATAAATGACTCACCTGACCCCTCATTACTGAGACCTGCTTCTTGAACTGTCCTCTGTCGAAACCCGGGTCTTTCTGTCAGTGTTAACGTCAATACAAAGTCAATACCGAGCATTAATTTCACAGAACAGAAGTCAAACATGTCTGCGAGTCCCCAGCTGAATTCATCTGAATTTCAAAGCAATCTCTGCGACTCACCTTAAAGAGCTCATATAGATCTTCTTCAAGGTCTTTGATGAAGTTCGGGTCGGATAATTTGGGCAGAACTAAATCTTGGATCTCTTGGGAAAATGCAACTTTCGCTTGTGGCAGCCAAGCCCAGTAAAATGGGTCTACAGGAAATACATTCAACAAAACGATTTAACTGACTGCAAAAAACAACATCAAATGAAACTAAACACCTCAGAATACAACGTTTGTATTTAGCACTTATCGAGCATATTGCAATGTGATTGGCCAGTAGTTGGTCATGTGCTTGAGAAGTGGATGATGATTGGCTTACAGGCTCTCCATGAATCTGGGTGTTTGAGAGGGAAGGCCAGACCGTTGTCAATGGCTGCCAGTTTAATGATGGGGTCCTTCACCACCACCCAGTCACTGTCCTGCATGAGAAAAGCATTCGATAAACACAAACATGAGCATAAAAACACAAAAATGGGACAGAAAGTCTCCCAAAAAGGCATCTGGCCACTCACCCTGTTGCTTGATATATCCATCGGACAGTCATATTTGATGAGCCAGTTGTCATTTCCTCGATCTACAGATCCATACAACAAAATAAAGGCAATATATAGTTAAAATGTGTTTTTGGTCATTTCGTTTGACCTTAATTCTGTTGGTTACCGTGGTTACCTGTGTTTCTGATGATGTAATCCAGCACCACCAGTCTCTCAAACTGTAGCTGGAGTTGGCGATTAGTGTTTTCTGGTAAAGGCTCCGCCTCGAACCGGCGCAGCCAGAAATCAGCATCTTTATACCCCTCTACGAAAAGCTGGAATGAGCCCACCTACAAACAACCAATGTAAACGAGTTCACAAACCTACAACGGCCAATAGAAATCAGTTCACAAACCTACAACAGCCAGCAGTGTGTATAAACCAACTAATTTTTCCTCAGTTTTTGTTTAGGAATTTACCACATTACAAACCTTGATTTGAACCAAAAATAGTGTTTGTAAAGGTACAAGAATCTTTTATGAGTGAATGAACAACTCATCCATTGCGAATGGCATGATCAAATTAGCCATGACGGTAAAACGCTAAACTTGGATTGATTGAGTAAATGAAAGAAAATAAAGATGAGAATATTTTATATATATATATATTTTTTTTTATGTTTAATAAATATTTAAATACAAATAAAACAATAAATTGTTTAAGAGCATACAGTAGCATATAATATCGCTCAACAATGTCAGAGCTCATGGCAGGTCTGTCTCGAAAGAAGAAATTAATTACATTTTTACTTCTGAAACCGTACTATTGCGCTCTATATAGTTTATAAACCCAAGGTTATTATAATTAACTAAAGCTAAAACCATTAAAAACCGTTTTATTACTTGAATTATAAAACGGAGAGTTCCGGTCCTTGATTCTGATTGGCTGAGCCAAGTTCGAAGCTGTTGTAAATTACTCTATAAACATACACCTTTGTGTACATTTGTGTGTTGCTCGGCAACCACTTTCTTGGAACCACAACCTTTTCTGAGGAACTACATTGTTTGGTGGAAGAATACTGTTTTTATTTATATCATTACACTTTATTTGCTCTGTTTTATTTTGTGAAACTTTATTACGTACATGGAATAACCGTTTTATAAAAGCAATAAGCCCCGTGAAACAATTGTTATAAATTCACTGTAAACCACGGCTTCTTGGGGCTTATTGCTTTAATAAATGTTAACTGAAATAAATAAAAAAAAATTAATTAAAAATGAATATGGAAAATATTCTCATATATATATATATATATACACACGTATATATCTCAATGATAACAAAAAAATACTGTATAAACCTGCAACATCTAAAAAAAAAAAAGTTCAATAACATCTAAAAAGTCTCCTCTTCCTCCAGGCAGATAGGTGGCGCTGTCATAAACCTTACCTTGGGTGGCAGGCCAATCCGGTGGAAACGTTGGCCCATCTTGGGCACTTTTTCTAGCGCTAACCTCTTTCCTCGAGACTTTACTCGGTCGATGGCACTGTAATTAAACGTCTCACTTGCTAAATACACCACCTGAGAGAAAGAGAGCATAGAGAACGCTTTATATAGGACGCATCCGTCTTCTCTGTCACCAGTCAGCAACAGAGATGTTGTGGGAGTGTGAGCCGTTATGTTCAGCTGTGCGGTTGACTAGTGTGTTTTCATGCGCGCTAAACAACAGGAAACGAAAGACGTTGACTAACAAACACCAAACCATCACGACTATCACCCTACTTTCTCACGTCCTCATTCACCTCGCTTTTGGTTTCGGTGAAGATGCACAACTGTGGGTGTCGTTCTCATACCTTTGTGCGCGGCACGATGTTGAGCTCTAGTTTCTGGTCCACCAAACTGGCGCCGGCCTCTGACAGGTAGCCCTGATTCAGGACCAGACAGTCCCGGCCGAAACAGCACGGACAGCAGAGCTTCTGCAGCCATTTGGTCCACTTGGGGTTCAGCTGGCCGTACGGTTCCTCGTTCTTTGGTTTGAAGACGCCGATGATCTTCTGTTGGAGAAGAGAGAGGACATTTCAGGTCAGGTTTCCTGAAGCGACACGTGCGGTTCAGAGCAAACGTCTGCTCAAACTGAGACTTTCACACGTTACTCTTTAGCATGACAGTAAAACAGCATTTTTCCCGTAAGCAAACCAATGCTACCGTACACATATTAGACTAAAATCACATTCATAACCAAGGTTATTTTAGTTAAATAAAACTAAATGTGCAATTATTTTGAGGTTAAACACGTTCTCATATCCTAGTTTAATATGCTGCAACAACCAAAAGGAAGATAAAAAAAAATAAAAAATTAAACAAGGATGCATTAAAGTGATCAAAAGTGACAGTAAAGACATTTATGATGTTATGAAAGATTAAAACTTTTTATTCATCAAAGAATCCTGGAAAAAAAATAAAATGCACCCCGGTTTCAACAAAAATATTAATCAGCACAGCTGTTTTCAGCATTGATAATAATCAGAAATGTTAATGAACAAATCAGCGTATTAGAATGATTTCTGAAGATCATGTGACACTGAAGACTGGAGCAATGATGCTGAAAATTCAGCTTTGATCACAGGAATAAATTACAGTTTATAATATATTCACATAGAAAACAGCTATTTTAAATTATAATAATATTTCACAATATTGCTGTTTTTATTGTATTTTTAATCAAATAAATGCAGCTTTAGTGAGCATAAGAGACGTCTTTCAAAAACATTTGAAAATCTTACCGAACCCAGAAATGCAAGTTTCACAATAGTTACACATTTAACCTTATTTTTAGAAACTGATTTCCCAACTAAGAGTGACTTTTAACAAAGACTTCGTCTGGCCTCCATGACTCATCTGTGACTTGATTTGATGTGAATGAGAAACTGGCCCGGCGCACCACCTGACCATACATGTGGTCATGTCCTTATGACTCATGTGAGCTGCCTCACTAGTGAGCAGATGAAGCTTCCAGCACGTTCACTATCGAGAGGACGAACACCAGCCCTGCACCGCTGAAGATCAACCACATGAGGAACATCTCACAAGAAAACAAAACACCAAATGACATCAGATCAACTCAGTTCTGCCCCCTACAGGCTGGAGTATGTAGCACAATTCAGCCAACTCTGATCAGACTAACTAAAACTAATCATCATGACTAGGGATGCAAAAAGGTGGAAAATTTCCAGTAAATTTCGGAAACTTTCCAGGAATTGTTTTTTTAATATTCCAGGGATTTTTGGAAAGTTTCCAGAAATTTACCAGAAATTTTCCACCCCTTTGCAACCCTAATCATGACTAATAATCATGTCCTATATGACTGGCCAGAAGCTCACTTCTGGTCAAATTCACCAGGATTACATTATAAATGGAAAAAATGGGTTTGTTTGCAGCTTGTGTGCAGATAGAAATGGTTATTTTTGGTCACTTCACAACTTACTTCATTAGTCATTTTCAAATTAAACACTCAAAACTTTAAACTAGACTAAAATTGAACTAGTACAGAATAGTGTGATTTGACCGAGGAGTAACAACACTGGGAACTCCCACAGAAAACATGTAGTAAATCTCAGTTCCTCTTCATTTTGATGTAGCAAAACTGGAAGAGTCTCTTTGTTAAAGTCATTATAAAGTTCCTCTCACACATTCACTCGGTTCTGCTGAACTGACACAACAGAACAACCAGTCGCTCTCTGATAAATATAATCAATACAAAACATTTGAACCTTTGAGTTCTTTCTGAATGAAGGGAACTACAAACCGGGTCTAAAGCCGAGAGTTATGGCGTTTTGTGATTCTGTGGCTGAATGAAAGCAAGCCCAATGTCTAACACACTTCACCAGCCATTAGAAGTCAAACTGCAGAATTAGGCCGCTTAACGCATGTGACATGCCTTAAAGCATGTCAAGCCATCATGGTAATTCCACGGTTTCATTTAAAGAAGAGAGGAACCGAGTATGCACTGATGAAATGACCACCATTACTAAATAACCCTGAGCGGTTCTGTATTCTCTCACAAAGAGAAAGTGTTGCAAGTCTTTTGTTTAATGATCAATGATGACGGCATTTGTCTCAAAACTGGAGGAGCTGCCTAGTATCTAGTGAACAAACATTCCAAGAGTGACTAAAAATGCTGCCTCGATGGGTTTTGAGCTGGATACTAGAGTTCAGATATGCTGTTTATCAGACATTAGCGGTCGACAACTACTTAAAACACACAAAGTACCGTGTCAAATCCAGTGCAAGCTTCTTACATTAGAAGCTCAGACGCCAAAGATGGGTGTTTCTTCAACTAAAGACACTTTCGAAAATAAATCCTCTTGACATACACTTGTATCTGCTGTAATTTGCCTGCAAAACAATGTCCCACGGGGGGATTCCAGTGTTGTTATTGTTAACTAAAACTATTAAAAATATTTTTTTTTGTTAACTGAAACAAATCTGAAATAAAATTCAATATTAGATGAAAAATGTACTAAAATTACTACAGCTAAATCTGAAAAAAAGCTAAACAGAAATAATAATAAAAAACTAACAAAAATGACAAAAGCCCATAAGAATATGTTATAGCTAATTCAACATATTAATGAATACTTTAATTGTCTAAAATAACACTGGTATATGCATCACATTTCTAAACACTCTTTGCATTTAGTCCCATCTTCACTGGCAATAATGCACAAAAATAAATAAATAAATAAAGTTCATGTAATAATTACCTTGCTTACTACATTAACTAACATTTGTTACAGTATTTTATCATTTAAAAAATAGAACTGTTCATTGTTAGTTCATCTGAGCTCAAGTCTATTAAATAATATTAACAGATACAACTTTTGATTATAATAATGTATTAGTAAATGTTGAAATTAACATTAATTGAGATTAGTAAGTGCTTTTCATTGTTAGTTCATATTAACTAAGGTAGTTAACTAATGTTTACAAATGGAACCGTACTGTAAAGTTGCCAAAATAACTCATTCCTAATCACTTTGACTTTTATGAGAGCTGTTACCTTGTATTAAGGTTTCATATGAAAGACGTAGTGCATAATTAAGTGTGTACTGATATGAGCTCTATCTCTGCATGATAATGCACTGTCGTTTCACTAAAGAGAGCTTTAAAAAGAAAGTGCCGGTAAGCTTTTTGTCTATGGATCAAACAACTAGTGAGCTGCCTGCCTAGGAACTGTGATGCCTAAAAATGCTATCTAGATTTTGAACTACGGGCCTGATAATGCTGCTGTCCTGTGCAATGACACAGCAATGTGTCCAACGCCCCTAAAAGTGAAATTTACCTGGTTTTTATCACACATTCATCATTTTTAATTGCACATCTGCGTCTGGAACAAGGGTGCAATAAAAATGCAAAATAATTAACCAAAGTGATGTGTTCAAAAGTTTCCAAGACGGTTTCACTTTCACATTCATATGATAAAAACACATAAAAGTGCCTGCAGATGAAGAAACACACAACTGTCGTGACAAACTCAATCTAAACTGTAGGCTACAGAAACATATTTCTGGTTTGCATGACTCGAGGCCTGACCTGATGACACAGCTGTTACACTATTACACAACATGATCAGCTCTGTGTGAAGCTGTGAATGCACTGAAAACTCAGCTTATGTAGACGGGTCACAAATCAAGATATGATGAACTCTCACCCCTGCTGAATCTTTGACGAAGTAGCTGCCGCTGGAGCCCTGATAGATGCGCTCCGGGTAGTTGCCCTCCTCGATGGCCCGCTCCGCCTTCCGGATGATCTCTCTGAACTCCGGATCCTCCGGGAACTCGTTCCTGTGCGGGTCGCGGGCCGACGCGCCTCGGTCTCGGTCTAGGAGCGGCTGTCGCTCGCGGCTGCGTCCGGGACTCCCGGCCGGCAGACGCACCACGGAGCCCGGCGTCCCTCCAAATCCGCACCGGGGACTGGTCGCCTCGGCGGGACCGTAGCTGAAATCGTTGGAATCGCGAAGCGGAGAGACTAGCGGGCTCGTCTCGTCCATGGCGGAGAGAGGAGGACAGAGGGGGGAAAGGGGGAATTACCCGGGACAAGCGTTTATTTGTCACCGTAACGAAATGATGCGGCTCCGTACAGCAGATCGCCAACAAACAAATCACATGACAGCTAGCTTCCGGAACGAGGCGGGGCTAATGCGTCATCGCAATGCCACTGACCAATCAGCGCTTCAGAACGCTCTTGTTTTTCTACATGTAGAAGGTGATTGGTTAGAATTATACCACCCATTTCGAGCATGTGATAAAGCACAACATCACTGGAGTTAATGCATAGAGACACAGCGACAATATTGCTATATGTATTTGATTTCTGACTCTTCCAATAAGAAAACTGTAAAAACTGTGAATCTTTTTAAAAGGTACATTATTTTCTTGCTCCCTGGCATGTAGTATATTAATGTCATTCTGTGTTTCATATATTATAATAAAAAAAAAAAAGTGACAATATTGCAGAAATTATAATTGCAGAAAAAAAATTTTTAATTGACTTTTTACAAATATTTAATTATGACTAAGGAAACGTGAAACGCTATAAATTATACATAAACAATGGCAAAGTTTAAGGCTTCTCTGACATTGCTTTTTTTTTTTTTGCATAAAAGCTGCATAATGAAAGCTACATGCAAATGTAGCTGAACACAGAGGCTGCGTTGTTCTATATAATGAAAGTGGATGGGGACTACCATTAAATACTCTATTTTTATAATAGTCAGACAATATTCAGCTAAATAATTTTTGTGTTTCGTGAAAGAAGATGTCATACATAATTAAAACGTCGTGGGGTTGAGTAGACGACAGAATTTTATTTTTTTGCTGTGAACTGTTTCTTTAAGAACTGTCGTCTGTTCCACTAAATAAGGCGTTTTCTCTAAATCAGTGAAGTTAAGCACCACGGACATCCACAGCTTCAACATTCTGAAGCAATTATCTAAATGGCTCTCTTTCGGGAAGCGTTCGCCGTGTGCTCCTGTGCTGGAGGATGATTACTGTGATGACAGAGCGGCCTCGCGGGCGGGTCACATGAAGCGTGTTGTAGCAACACGAGTTTCCAAGGGGAGGAGATGCGGAGACCCTCAGTGGAGACACATTCACATCATGATGCACAGCTCATATGATATCTGACTTGATATCTCAGTGCAGCAGTAGAGTGTGCCGGTTAGTTTGCAGCACTGAGAAGCTCAATGGCTGCTGATGTGGAGGAGGCAGACTGTGATCTGACAGCACAAGACTCTTCCCCGGTCAATGAGCTCTCCTTCAGCCTGCAGAACCTCCAGTGCCAGGATGGGTGAGAGAACTTAGACTTTTTACATTTATTTATTTTTAAATATTTTTTAAAGATTTAAAGTGATATTAAAAGTGCATTTTCCCTATATATATATATATATATATAAGGCTAGTTATTTCACATTTATATATTATAATTAATATTGATATTTGTTGTGACTATTTACTATAGTTATTATTAATTATTAATCATACTGTTCATATTAATCTATAATAATATCTATAAAACAATTTTGTTATACAGATGGAACTGCCATATTTACATATAAATGTACCCTAAATAATATTTAAAGTGATCACTAAAGTGGTCTCATATAAATTGTCAGTGGTCAATCTGAATTCATATTTTATTTATTTACTTTATTGTTTTTTTTTTTTTTTTTTTATATTTGATGCACATTTACTTTAAGTCTGAGTCCGAAGAGCTCGCCCCCCTGGAGAAAGCTTGTTTTGACGCCTGAATGCATCAGCCCGCCGCTCAACACCCTCTCCAGGGAGAGAGAGACGCCGACAGGTCTGGACAAGAGCTTCTCTCTCACACACACACACACACACACACACACTCAATTAACTCTCCTCTGAGGACACTTCAAACTCAAGCTGTTCCAGCTCCTTGTGTTTGCACATTTAGATTAGTTTTGTCTTATGTTTGAAGACTCTGTTTGATCAATTTGTTTTTTTTTAAATCCTGGAGCTAGTCACCTCTCCTCAAATGTTTCTGCTTAAGATGCATATATTCTTTATATATTCATTAATTCTAAGAATTAGTAACTGAAATACCAACAGAAAATTACTTGATTACATTCTATCCTTTGCTATTCAAAACTGTTCATCCACAGTTATGAATTATAGTGCAATTTACTGTGAATTTTCTCTTAGTCTCTGCAGTGAGAAGAAGACGAGCAAGGTAAAATAAACATGCATGACCTTATTTTAATAATGCATTTCATTAATAATCAGCGATGTTTGCAATGAATGATGGGATATGTAGTCCGAGGTGATATGCAACCGTGTGTAGTGCGAGAGTCAATGAAAATGGAAAGGGTGACCTCTGATGGCTAGCAGACGGAAGTTCATGGACCGGATACGTAACAATAACATCCCAGTGAAAGATATAGAGAGTGATTCTGTTCTAAACCCACTGTATTAGAAAGCAAGCCGTCATGTGTCCTGTGTTTGTCTCAGCAGAAGCCTGTCTCCTGACTCCTCTTCAAACACGGTAGGCTACAGTAACCAAACACAGTAAATAAAAAGGAATAAATAGCAAATTATATTTATTTTGATGTTATTTTCATGACACTTTAACCCATTTACAACTCTCATAATGTATCTGATGTTCTCTCTGCACTTTTTACGTCCAGCCCAGGTCTCTGTGGAGGAACCGTCGCGATTCTCCTACCAATAAGGAGAATGAGCGAGCCATTGTCAGTAACACTTATATATATGCTCATTGACATTAGCCCACATATTATTACTTATGAAACCAGAATGTCATTTGAAATATCCTCCTGACTACCAGCTATGGAGTTTTGTCCTCTGTAGAGGACATTATGTTTTAGCATTTTCTCTGAGACGTTCCATGTCACAGTTTTAAGTCTGGATGTCCTTTACAAAGCACATTCAGGGCTTTTCAGAGATACCAAATGATTGAATGTTTCACCATGACCACTCCCTCTCCTTGGTCTTTAAAAATGGCTGACATTAATTTAGTGATCAAGTGTAACACCCTTATGGAAATATGATAATATTTTGTAATTATCATTTAAATCTGACTAATTTTCAAATTGTTTGTCATAAATCAACATCTCAGGAAAATGTTACGGGGTTTCAAATCAAAATATGAGCTTCTGTTATGAAACAGGACGTCGATTTCATACATGTCCACTGTAGAGGACACCAGGACTTAAAGCATGTTTATTACACATTTTGGGAGACACAAACAATAATTAGAGAAAAAAATATGTATCAATATTGCCATTAAATATGAGATATTATTATGAAAATCTTGCTAATTATTACTCCCATTATTTCACT